CCCGAGTTCTAATCCTCTGCATCCAAAATCTTGGGTGTGGCTGCATGTACCTATAACCCCAACTCTGTGAGGTGTAGATATATTGCAATCATTGGAGCATGCTGACCTTGTCTCAGGGTAATAAGGGGCAGAGCAGATCACACATGTCATGGTACATGTGTGACTGTGTACATGGGTATGCGTGCCTGTATATACATGTGTGGATATAAATTTGAATTTATATCTGAATTTGAATTCATTTTTTATTAGATATTTCTGAAATATTGGGAACCCTCCCCTGAATCTAATCAATATGTTGATTTGACCATGCCTACTTCTGATTCTTTCCTGTGTGCATATTTAGATTCAATACATTTAGAATGCACCAAGTGAAATTTATTATTCTATATTCTCCACTCACATGGAAAACACCACACATACTTCTGAAAAGTTTGAAAATACAGCATAAGGGTACTTCTGATAGGGTTTCGCTTTTCTAAACAACTTTTTAAAATTTCATTTCAAGAACGGCAAAAACTACCCTGGGTAGCATTGGATGCGTTTCATTTTCATCTGTTTTGACCACTTTACAATTTTTGTTTAAACTTCTATCTTGAACCTTTAATTTTCTATCTCTCTAGGAAAAAAAAAACTACCAAGTTTGCAGTATGCTACAATAGATTTGTCATTCTTTTAAAGATAGCTGATTCATACAGGAATTCTGGGTCACAAAATACAACATGACAATCCACTCAGGCTCCTCTGGCCCTCTGGCGGCTCCTCAGACATAGCGGGTGTACTCCTGCCTGGGGCTTTCACGCACAATCTGCCTGCGCTCTGCCCCCGCTCTGCCCCCAGAGTGCCCCGCCTGCTCTGGTTGCTGCTCAAATGTCAGCCTTTCCACACAGACTTTCCCTGCTGATCCCATCCAAACCCATCACCTCACAGCACCTGTCCTCCTGACTCTAGCCTCTCCACTGCTGTCACAGCTTCCATTTTCCCGTTCCTGGTAGAACGGGAATCCCAAAGGAATGGGGACTTGACCTTTTGTTCACTGTGTCCCTCATGGTAACACCACAGGCGACTGGACACAATGGGTTTGACAAATACCTACGATTTGAAATGATTGGGCATGGGAACCCTCTGCACATCAGCCATGTGCTCTGACTTTCAGGGACGCTGCCGGCCCCAGCTCTGCTGCCCACCCCCAGCCTCCCTCCAAGGCCAAGGGCACAGCAGGGTGAGCACATGGACTGTGTCAGATGACCACCCCAGAGGACCTCCCAGAAACCTTTCTGCTCATCTAAGCCACAGTAGCAATGGCCACGATGCTCCCCACACTTAGTCACACCCAGGTAGAAAATCCTAGGTAACCGTTACAGAATCCACCTAGAGTGGGGGTAACACCTCACAGTAGAAAGAACACTGAACATATTAGGAAACTCTGCCTCTAATTCTAGGGTCTCCATTTGCCAATCAGCAACCTGAGTCACTTTAATTTGGGGGGCGCTCAATTTCCTTTGGGCAGAAAAGCAGACAATTATGAATCGTGGATCCAACAATATAAAGGGAAAATGTTTGGTGACCACGGGGGTGGAAACATAAGGTTTTACAGGGCAGGTGAGAGGTGACAGACTGGGTTAGAGCTCATGCCCAGACAGGGACATCTGTGTGTTGGGGATTCCAACCAAGGACTATCAGGTAGAATGATAGCCAGGTCATCCACACTCAAAAGATCTCCTTGTGTATTAATGTATATGTTAAGTGTAATAGTATCACAGCTACTCTGCCTAGGTTCAGATCCTGGCCCTGACATGTCTTAGCTGTGTAGCCTCAGCTTCACTCCTCTGTGAAATAGTTATGCTAGTCAGATCCACCTAAGAGTTGCCAAGGAGCTTAAATTTGCAACCCCTATGCCACGCATAAAGTGGGCATTATTATATTATTTCATGCAAAATTAGAATAACCTGTACTTAGCTTCAAAAGCAAGGAAATGGAACTAGATAGATGGCTCAGCAGTTAAAAGCACTCTCTACTCTTCCAGAGGACCCAGGTCCAGTTCCCAGCACCCAACTGGGGGACTCACAACTGTCTGTACCTCTAACTCTAGCTCCAGGGTCTTTGATACCCTCTTCTGTCTCCTCAGTTGCCCACATGCACTTGTTTTACATACACATACACAAGATACATACACACAGACACACACACACACACACACAAATTTTTAAAAGTCAGGCTGGATATGATGACAGATGTCTTTAATCCCAGCACTCAGCAGGTAGAGACAGAAGGATATTGTTGAATTGGAGTCCAGACTAGTCTACATAGAGAGTTCCAGGATAGACAAGACTACATAGGAGACCCTCTCTCAAAAAACAAAACATGAAAATAAAAATAGTAAATCTTTTTTAAATAAAGAAAATAACATAGGTTGGGGTATTTTATGCAATAAGAAGATGCACAGAACACAGATGATATGGCTGGGTGTCTGTCTGAACACGGTTGAGATGGTCAGGTGTCTGTCTGAACACGGCTGAGATGCTCGGGTGTCAGTCTGAACACAGTTGAGATTGTGAGGTGTTTGTCTGAACACAGCTGAGATGGTCAGGTGTCTGTCTGAACAAGCTGAGATGGTCAGGTGTCAGTCTAAACACAGCTGAGATGGTCAGGTGTCATTCTGAACACAGCTGAGATGGTCAGGTGTCTGTCTGAACACAGCTGAGATGGTCGGGTGTCAGTCTGAACACAGCTGAGATGGTCAGGTGTCTGTCTGAACACAGCTGAGATGGTCAGGTGTCTGTCTGAACACAGCTGAGATGGTCAGGTGTCAGTCTGAACACAGCTGAGATGCTCGGGTGTCAGTCTGAACACGGTTGAAAAGCCTGGGTGTCTGCTACTCTCTCAGCTGGCTTCACCAGGCCTTTTTGCTTAGAGAAAATGGATTTCTCTAAGCATCCCCCACCCCATCCCTGGAAAAACAAAACATAGCCCCTAGAGATGGGCTAACTGTTTCATCTTATTGTTAACTGGTGAGAAGGTTGCCTGCTGAATCCCTTGGCTTTTCAGAGAGGGAGACAGCCTGGAAGGAGTCACAGAACTTCTCCCAACCAGGACAATATTCCACGGACTCGCACAGTTCCCAGTCCTTTCTCCCTGGCATGGGACGTCTCCTGGAGGAAGACCTAGTGCTTGGTACTCTTGTCACATAGATGCTCCTGGAATAGCACAGGTGTGGGGAGACCACTTATCATCAAAAAATTATCCCCAAATCCACTCCACATTGCCATTTTCCAAATAGTTCATGGCTAATGAAGATGCTATCCTTTAATGAATATTAGTCACAAGAGACTCATTTCTCCCCATCCCAACACACCCAACTGACATGGCGACCATTGTTCCAGGCTCGCTACTGGTCTGTTTACCAGGCAGTTTGTCATTCACACACTGATGTCCATGAGTCAGTTTGGGAATCAATCGTGGAAACGGGGGAGGGAAGCCTCAGGGTTTATGTCCTGACTCTCTTAGCATCTGGACCCCTTCTGGACTAAATTCCCCACAGTAGCATTACAGATATTTGACTTCTTTTGTAACTGCTGTTGTAATCATTGCCAAGTACCCACACAACATAAATTATCATTCGCTTACAGTTTATTTACAGTGATTCTCACTTTTTCTTGAAAGTTAACTTTAAAAGCAAGATTTAGCCCCCTCCCCCACCCCTTCGAGCACAGTTGTGAACCAATTCACTAATTCAGGATAATTCCTGAAGCTTAGAAAAGGGAAGAAAGGAAGCATCAGTTCTGTCTTTTCTGTATGAACCAGATCACCAGGGAACAAGTGAGGGGAAGCTGCTCTTTGCAGGAGCATTGCAGCTAGCTAACACTAGGCAGACATTCCCATCTTATATCCTCCAATGAGCGAATGGACTTAGTGCTGAGCATCGGTCAGGCCAACATCACCAAGATCCTTGAGCATTGCCTGTCGTGATGACAGACTGCATCCAGAACCTAGGGCCACCTACAGATTTACTTAGGGATGGAAACTGAGTCTGACCAATCCTCTAGACCCAGCTGCCAATTTGCAGAAAAAGCGAGGGGCAGAGAAGCATGCAGAGGTGCCATGAGACTGCAGTAAGCAAACCCCAGACTGAAAACACTTCAGACCAAATAGCCCAGAATTCTCAGCAGATCAAAGAATGTGACCGAAGGGCTTAGGGGCTCACTAGATTAGCAACAAAAAGTATACCAAATTAGATGCAGGATACAACAGGTACAACAGCAACCATTCCATCTCACCTCGAGAGTGAGATTTAAAATCTGTGTAGGTTGAAAACTGGAGGGTACAAGAGAATCCTACAAAAACCCTGAAAGCATCTTGAAGTCTCAAGGCCATTGGCCTCTCAGAGAACCACTCAGAGAATCTGCAGGAATGAACTCTTAATTCGCACCTGTGTTCTGGCATCTTCTCCTGGGCAATGGAGGCCTGCATCTAACAGGACCAGGGAAGGGAAGGACCCACTGAAGTGACATCTTGCTCTTGCAGAGGCAGAAGCAGAGATGTTCCAACTCATCCTGGCAACCATGTTCTGAGCTCACCAGTCCTTTTAGGACTGTGCTCTCAGGAAATCCTTCACTGTTAAGGCTCCTAGTGAAGGTCACAGGCAACCTGCAGAGATGTACGCATGCTCCTCCCAAGACCTGGGATGACTGACTGTAACTATCTAGAATCTGTCTCCCCAGTTCACCACCTAATGTTAGACAAGGCTTGGCTTGTCTGGATATAAAACTATTTGACTGAGTTGGGACAGTGTCTACCCTGAGAGACAGCATTCGGGGGCAAACTTGAGAATTGTCAACTGACTTCTGTGGGGCCAGCATCCTTCAGCTTCCACAAGGCAAACTGCTCGGGTGTCACCAAGGACCCAGTATTTCCTTGGGATGGCTACTGTTAAGATAGCATTACTAGCCAAAGCCTATGGAAACCCTGAAGTGGCTTCCCAGAGCACTGAACCAGTTACCTACCATGGTCTGGAAGCAGGAATGGAGCTGAGTCAGGAAGGGCGGCTTCCCAGGCAAGGCCAGCACCCGCTTCTCCACCATGGTGCACTCCACATCGTCATCTTGAATCACCACATCTTTCTTCAGGATCTTCACTGCATAGAGCTCATCCGTACCTTTCCGCTCCGAGAGCATGACCTGCGAAAGACAGCCACACATCAACACCACTAAGAGAGGCCTTGGGGGACAGCTGTGGGTACCTAGAATCCAGGCAAACCCTTCTCAGGCTTTAGACAGACACGCATACCACTTTGCAGCCACCTCACACTTTGAGTGTCTAAGTCCTATCAATGGAAGATGGTTCTAGGAAAGATGAACGTGTATTGAATGACCCTTTCGGATATCCATCAATAACAAAGCCATTCTACATGACTGGAATGATAATCACCCCTCAGAAGTAACTATCTAGACAGTTTCACTGCCTGTTTTATTCACTGGTATAATCCCAGATCTTCAAAAGTACCAGACATGTAGTAGATGATCAGTAAATACTAAAAACACAAGAATCAGTGAAAGATTTATCAACTTGGTAAAACCAGATTTGAGTAGATATGCCATGCTTTGTGGATACCTATGGGAGGCTGGTCCCTTTCTAAACAGAAATAGAGGAGGAGAAGATTGGGGGTGAGATGGGGGGGAGAGAATAGGAGTAGAGGAGGGAGGGGAAACTGCAGTTGGGACGTAAAATTAATAAAATAAATAATAAATAACCTGGGTGAGAGATACCTACTCCTTTATTCCCTCAGTGTGCCCTGTTCTGCATGAGCCTGCTTGGAATGCAGCAAGAATCAAGCAGGCACATTCCTTGACCCTGAACTCAGGGAAGACGAGAGATCAGACAACTACTTATAGGAATGCATTGTTTCAACAGCCTCACCTGCAGTCTTGAGGTGTCTGCCTACAAGCTGTGGTCAGAAGCAGGGTCAGAAAACATGAGGGCTTATGGACACAGTGTTATTTTCATTATGTTACTATTATCCTTGGTCTTGACCACGTCAGAGGAACTATGTCTGGTGTGTGATATTCTCAAGGAGATTCTTGGGAAACAAAGACTTGGACCATATTCCAAGGAGACATGCTCTGTCGGGCAAGGTCTCCCTGAGGAAGAAGTGATCTCACTGGCATATTTGCTGAAGGTAGTATATTACCTGCTTTGTAAGCAACATTCATTAGTACCATATTTTTGAGAACTTCCCAATGTATCAACAATTATTGGTTTTCATTTGTTATTTCTTATTTACTTTGCTTAAGATTCTAGGAAGCGGACACTGCTGTGAACCTGATAAGAAACTGGCATAGAAGGCTGAGGAGCCTGCCAGGGTAGCACTCAGAGCAAGGGCACGATTTAAACTTAGATTTACATGGTCAGAGTTCTTGTTGCTAGTCTTTCATTATTATGAGTGCTGTGTGCAGGTGCTCACGTGCCCCAGCACCCTGTGGAGGTCAGACGATGCCTCTCAGGAGCTGGTTTCCCTTCTCCAAGGGGTCTGGATACCAAGCTCACGTTGTCAGGTTCACCTAGCAAACGCTTTACCCATGCAGCCGTCTCGCCGGCCCAAATTTCCTATCTTTAAATGTTTCAGAAAAAGCCTCAAAGAAGTTAAGAGGTTAAGACTACATCTCCTGACACAGGTGAACAAAAGAATGCAACAGAGACTTGAGGTTAGATGGAATATGGATGGGCACCCAGGAGCTGATTAGGTAGGTCAGCATACCTGCTCAGCTCCTGTCCTAACAGAAAAAGGTCAACCAGACTCAGTCACGGAAGCTTCCAGGTTCCTGCATCTACACACTAAAGTTCAGGCAGGGTTCAATAGATTTTTTGAGCTCACCCAGCCTCTTGCTTCTACTCGCTTCTCTCGCCTTGCAGTCAATGGTGCTCACGGGTCCTACAGATGTGGGGCTGTGTAGGGTGCTTTAGGAAGATGACTTCTGGCATGCGGTTCTACAGTGGGCGTGTTCTCTGCCTCTGTCTTCAACAGAGCTACCCGTCTCCGTGGGTGGCACCTATGTGGCACTGTCTCAGCCCTCAAAATAGCCACTGGCATAGGTGGCAATCAAGCTATAGGGTCAGGATGTGTCTTCGGTGCACTTCCCATCCCCTCTGGTCTTTACCCGTTACTCACGCTCCCGGCCCTTGCCGCGACAGGAGTGATGACCAAAGGAAACCAGTGTCCCCAGGGAGAGAATCAGGAGGAGGAATTTCCTGCTCTCTGGTTGTAGAAAAAGCTGGGATGGAAGAGGACAGGGAACAGCAAGGTGATCTGGATTGGATGCAAGTGAGGAGAAGGACCAGGGATGGGAGGAGAGCCTGCACCTGAGAGGTTAAGAGGTCCTGTCACACGCAGACCTTCATTGACTTTCTCCAGGACCGTCCGTCTGTCCTTAGTGGAGGAGCATGGAGTGACAGCATCCAGGACCGTGAAATGATGACACAAGTAAGCCACCTCACCTGTCCTCATGTGCCTTTTCCACATTATTCTTAATGCCTAATCTGACATTTGCCAACTGTTTTTTTTTAAGATTCTAGTCACTGCCTGGCATATCCCAGGCATTTAGGCAATGCTTACATGGGAAGCAAAGGCAGCAAAAGTAAAAATTCAAATAATTAGTCAGAGCTAGGCAATGGCCATGGCCACATTCCCCTGTGTTCCCGAAGCGAAAATAAATCTCTTATTAATTGCATCGAGGAGCTTTCAGAAATTTCAATACCAGCACAGAGGACGTGGGTTGTTTGCCCAGCTGTCCCTGCATCTCCAGGGTGAGGATTCCACACAGAGCGAAAGGATGTGTTGGAGCAACGTTCTTATCAAATTCCGAACCACATCTGTTGCCCAAGAATCTTCAGGGAGGGACGCGACAAATAGCAGAACTCCAGCGACAGCAAATAAAACAGAGAAGCAGCCCAAGGGCTTCCTGGTGAGAAGCTTGCGGCCGTGAACTTTGCTGCCAACTCCCAAAGGTGAGGTGTGTCCAGCATCCTGGACTCTGCCCACAGACTGGGTAGTGCTTTGTAATAGTAGTGAATATATGAATTTGAGAATTAGAATGCCTGGTATATATCCAAGGTTGGCTATGGTAGCTGTACAACACTAGGAAAATCCACTTGGCTTTTCTGAACCTCAGTTTCCCAATCTGTCAAATGGACTTGCCAAAACCCCTCAGCCGGTGGTCTAGGGAACCATACAGGGCATGGTGTGTGTAAAGAGAAACTTTGACTCAGCACTGTTCGGCAAACCATGAACCCTTAACACCCAGCATCAGATTGTCTCCCAGGGTGGGCACAGCAAGGAACAAAGAACGAGGTGGCTTGAAACAACAGAAACATGTCCTCTCAGAGTTCTGGAGGGTGGCAGTCCAAAATCAAGATGTTGGCAGGGTCGGCTGCTGGTGAGGGCTAAGGAGGAATAATTCATTCTGTGCTTCTGTCCCAGCTTCTGGTGGTTGCCAGCAACCCTTAGCGCTGCTTGGCTTATAGACACACAGACTGCTCCAGCTTCCCCCCTTTCTTCACGCTGTGTCCCTCCCTGTTGTCCTGTGTATGTGTCCAAATGTTCTTACAAGGACACCTTCCATTAGAGCCCACTCTAGTCCAGAGCACCTCAACTTAACTCAATGACGTCTGTAAAGACCTTATGCCTGAGGAAGGCCAGGGTTAGAATTTGAGGTTGCATCTTTTTAGGAGAGTGGGGAGGAGGACAGTGGATAGGATTTGAAAAGTCTGTCATCTTTCCTGAGAAAAGCCCAGGGGGTGGTTAGTCCTGGATCCAAGCTCCCATGATTGCTTCTGACCAGCTCTGCTTCCACTCCTCTCACTCCTGAACTCCACACACACCGCACTCCACACAGCAAATGATGCTTGAACAACTCAAGGCAGCTCATAGCATTCTGCTTTCTGGAGACGCCCCTCTGTCTTCCAATAGTGCATAGAACAAAATACACTTCTCCCCAGGCGTTCGAGCATCTGCTCTCTGACCTCCTGAGGGCTGGTCACCCTCTGCGGGGACTCCAGCAGGGTCCGGACTGCCTGTCTTGTCTAAGCATGCAGGGCTCTTGTCACGGACACCACTTCATCTCACTCCACAGCTCTTTCCTTTTGTGTGTGTACATACGTGCACATGTATGGTGTAAGCATGTGTGTGCGTGTAGGTGTGTTAGTCCATGAGTATACTTGTGGATGCCAGAGGCTGCCTCAGGGATCTTCCCCCACTTGCTCCCTACCTTATTTTTTGAGTCAGGGTCTTTCACTCACCACAGAGCTCACACTTTTGGCCTAATTTACTGAATGCTGAGCCCTAGAGATCTGAGCTCAAGGGATCTGCCTGTGTACAACTTCACACACACACACACACACACTCACACACACTCACACACTCACACACACACACTCACACACACACACACTCACACACTCACACACACACACACACTCACACACTCACACACACACACACTCACACACACACACACACATACACACACACGGCATGCTGAGATTCCAGATGCATGCTGCTGTGCCTGGCTTTTACGTAGGTTCAAGGGTCAGAACTCAGGTCCTCATGCTTTCGCAATGGGCACTTAACCCACAGAGCTGTCTCCCCATCTCCCGCACGGCTCTCCACAGCGGGTGCTACACTGATCATCTGTCCTCGCCTTTCCCTTTCTCAGGTCGGATATTTTGCCATAGCTCCTATGTCTAACGTCCAGCACATCGTCAACAATGAACCAATATTTGTTCTCAAAGTAAGTTAACAGATCTGAGTGAGGAAAAGCAACAACAGCTCCCTAGATCTAGGTCACCGTATCTGGTTTCTCTGAGCTTCAAGTGCTTAGAGGTTGGTGTTATTTAATGTGTGTATATGACTTCACTCAATCCATATTTCCCAAAGAGCCTGATAAAGTATTCAAGATTATATAACATAAACAAGTGAATTGTGTGACCCATAAACTATACCTCAAGATAGATGGTTAAAAATGATTACACACTATATAGTCAATACTTATGTCTGTGTATTTGTATATATGTGTGTGTGTGTGTGTGTGTATAGTAGATACTTTAATACATGATTTTGTCTTCCTTTTCTCTTCCCACTTTCCCTCCCCTCTTTACCTCCCTCCATTTTTTTATTTCTCTTCCT